TTCGCTCTAACTGATTTGCTGAAATCAAAACAGGGATGATAATAGGTGAGAGCCAGCCAATGAGATTGCCGTTTGCGCATTAGTTCCGCCCACTACCGGAGAAACCGGCAGTTTTTAAAAGCAGAAGAATTCCAAAGGAACTCCGTTATTTTGACAGCAAAATACAACAAAGAATATCGTTTACATGTAGCGTGCATAGGTAGCACGTCAATTCTCTGTCTCTCTCTCTCTCTCTCTCTGCGTGTGTGAAACAAAGCGACGGCGAGTCGTGCGCCTTCACACTAGAGTTTACGTCTTAAATCTAATTTTGTAAAAAAAAAAAATCGTGAATCGAATCGTGAAATCAAAATCGTGATTCGAATCGTGAGTTGAGTGAATCGTTACATCCCTACCTATTAGGGGTCACCCCTTATAAATATACATAATTATCATGAAAATACCCAAGTTGGCTTGAAGAACACGGATAAATACATTGTTGCAGTCAAGTTTTTATTGTCTTAATGTTTCATCATACAAAATGTTTCTATCTTTTAATTCAGCTACAGCGATAGCTGGATGGCTTTGTCCATATTAGGGATTTCCTGGAGCGTCAGGAGTTCTATTACTTCTGTGATGCAAATGTGGATTTTCTGTGCTAGGGCGCCCTGTGTGTGACTCAGTGCAGACCTGCTAACCTTTGGAAAATATTTAACATTAAATCTTGTATTTTGCATATTGTGCAATTAAGATTTTGACATTAGACATCAAGGATCTTCAGGTAATAATGTAGCTATCTAGGAATACCAAAATTGGTATCTAGAAAATTGGAATTTTACTGGTTTTGGTACTGACTGATAAGATTTTGGTCCAATGACAACACAACATTCAGTTTTGTTATGTAGCTCTTCAGTATTGGTTTAGTTCAAATGACTGTGCAATGTTAATTCATTATGAACGTTTAGTACAGTCTTCAGTAGAGCAACCTATCGCTGAAGTGTCCTTATTCAACTTGAGTGAATTCAGTGTTGGTTGATTTCAGTTCAGTAACACTGTCAGTGTTGCAAAATTCATGAATTATGAACAAATCTGATTCAGCTATAAAGCATGTGTGGTAGATATGCAATAGATATACGCATTTCAGGATTTGTTGCATCGTGTTTGTGCTTGTTTTAATCACGATTAGGCTGATTATCTGCTGCTAGCAATGTTTTGAAATTGATTACTTTAGTTAATAAATTATGAAACAAATTTTTTAATTTGTCACCCATTAAAACATGATTTAAGAATTGGTCCGATTGACTGTTTTTAAAGCATGTGCTTAATTATATAGCTAAATGGGTAGCAGCTCCATTATAAAGAATAAATAGAATAAAATAAAAAATAAATTGAAAGATATAAAATTATTAGCATCTGCTACAAGAAGTTGTTCATTACTTGTAGTTATCATTCTAGAAATTCCATATTGCATACATCTCCATTATAGTAGTATTAGCTTAATTTCCTTAATGCATGTTTAAATGTTTTATTTGTCTTCTGGTTCATTTTTGTCATAACGATAGTATTTTCCTCTGCTGTGTCTAGATCATTCTGTCTCTCAGCCCATTATGGTGCAAAGACGACCAGGCCAGAGCTACAACGGGAACGGAGATGCAAGCTCAATACTGTCCCCGCGCTCAGAGGGGGGTGGTCTGGGTGTGAGTATGGTGGAGTATGTCCTCAGCTCTTCCCCTGGAGACAAGATGGATGGTCGCTACAGAAACGGAGGCTATGTGAGTCAATTATCTTATTACACTCATTGGGTATCTTATTACAACGCTTTTTTTTTTTTTTTTTTCAAGCAAATGTGTTTTAAGATCAGGACAGAATTTTTAAAGTTAAAGTTCATTGAAGAAAAAAAAACAAAAACAAAGAAGCTCTTGTGCTGAGGTGGCCAGTGTTGATCCTAGAGAGTCACAGTCCTGCAGAGTTTTTCTCCAACCTTGATAAAAACTCACCTGCCTGTAGCTTTCTAGTAACCCTTAGACCTGGATTAGCTTGTTCAGTTGTGTTTTATTAGGGTTGGAGCTGAGCTCTCTAGGACTGACGTTGGCCGCCCCTGCTCTAGTGAATGCATGCAGTGTTTAATTATTGATTTATTTAAAAACTGAAGTCAAAAAACAGAATGGATATTCTTCCTTTTTACCCCATAGAAATAAGTAACTGGGACAACCTTGGTTTCTAGGCAGTGGACTGAATTACTTTTTACAAACAAACACACTCCAAAAAAGAGCAGTCAGAAACAGAGCCATCTGTAGATTTTCATTATTATTGGTCCTTTAGGATTTGACACATTATGTTCACAGAACATCAGGAATCTAATGGGTTCCAGTCTTGCACTGACATATACTGGCTCTTTTGTGAAAAGATATGCCAATAAAAACACAGAAGAAAGTAAGTCATGTCATATCCCTTTAAAAAATAAATATAAATACCCCTTTAAAAAAAGAGAAATAAATATGATCAGTTTTTATTTAATGGCAACTTTAAAATGTATAGATGCATGTCACCTGCTGTTTATTTTTTATTTTTTATCTTTGTATGGCTCAAAATCTGCAAAGGAGTGATTAAATATAACAAATCATGTAAAAAGTATCATCTTTTATTGGAAAATGAAACAACATTTTATCACACTTTGATAATTGCCATAAACTGAAAAAAAAAAAATAGTGATCAAAATTAGGCTTGCTGTAGATGGTGCTGACGGTGATACCGGTGTTAAGCCGCGACACTGGTTATATCACTTGCCCACCGCGACACCGACCCCCACCGTCGTTTAGATTTTTTATAGTAATAAAAATCATTTAGTTCAGTAAAAGAACAGAGACACTACAATTAAAAACTGAATGCGGCTGCTCAATGCAGCATGCCGAACGACAGTCGCATCACAGATTTCATTTATCCAGTGAGGAGAGTGAGTCGAGCTGACTGACCGGTTGACTTTTGCCGTTTATCTAAGGTGATTTGGGAAGTTTTTTAAACATTCGTTTCTTATTTAATTGGTTCCACATTGTTTGCTGATTTTGAGTTTATTTATACTGTCATTTATTTTAATTTTTTTTACATCAAGGTGTATGCCGTGCCTCCAAGCTTTCTTACTCGTTTAGCTAATAAACGTTCTACGTTTCTTATTTATTTGGTTATATATTATACGTTTACTTAGGTATACAAAATTGGAAATAGGCTATTTAAACTTTGTTTAAGTTTTGTTATTTTATATTAGGCATAGCCTGCCCTATAGCATGGTGTATTTATTTGTTTTGTTAATAAGCTCTATGTTTTATATATAGGCTAAAGTGAGTTTGACATTGTATTTTGTTGTTGCATTCAAGCAATTGACGCCGAACTGCCGCTAATTCAAAAGTGAAAGTAAAATGCGCACGCAGCTTTTACAATCTATTTAAAAGCAAAGGAAAGCGAGGAAAAGAGGGAACGCCCCCACCCCCACGGTATTACCGGTGTTGTCACACGTCTATTAACCGGTGGGAAAATTTCCTCACCGTCACAACCCTAATCAAAATACAATTTATAAAATCACCTGTCAAGTTCACATTTATTTATCAACACATGAGTCAAATTGGATGACTACAGGGACTCCTCTCAAGATCAATCAACTAACAGATTTTTTTTCATAATTTTGGCAATAGAACTGTCAAGAATAGAAATGATTGAAAATAGGTTCATTCTGTGTCAAATCAACCAAATTGCAGAAAATACCTATACTCAGATTTTTTTTTTTTTCTAAAGAAAAGCATACAATAGTGATGAAAGCCAAACTATTAAATGCCATGGGTGAATATTTGTGTAATTCAGTATTTTGTAGAGGGGGGGTATTTGTCTAGATTGAGGTAATTGATACACAACCTAAAGTAATTTGTCCTCAGGGATGGCTTTGTTTAACTTTGATTTGTGGTGATTCTAGGGTGGAGCAGATGCAGATCCAGATGGCAGGGAGAAAGGTGATTCAAAAGAAAAGACTTCTCCATTTGAAGAAGACAAAAGTCCTGAGATGACAGTCGGAGATGAAGGGGATGCCGTAAAAGCAAATTCCAGAGGATTGCTGAATGGGATGGATCGCGACAGTAAAGACTTCAAGTATGATGGTTCTTTTGCCAACTTGTAACAATATTAACATAAAAATGTAAACTTTCTTTTAAAAACAATTTAAACAACCCTCTACAATGCAAGTAAATCACTAGGTTACGCGAATAAATTTCCATGCTAGGCGATCAAATACTGTCTATCGTTAGCTATTGGCTAATAAATTGTTAGATTTCACTCGCCAGTGTTTGAGTCAGAGGCTAAGTATAAGTTTGACACAGATATTTCACTTGCCTTCACTCATTTTGAACACTTTGCGCTTGAGTGTTTCTCTCTTCATCTTTAAAGCACACTATTTTAATTAATCTAAATGGATGTGCAGTGTATTTTACTTACCCTAAACTCTAGTGTGAAGGTGCCCGACTAGCTGTCGCTTAGCTGAGAGCACTCAGTGTTTCTCTCACACATGCAAAGAGAGGGAGAGCAAGACAGTTTTACTTACCACGTAGAATTGATGCTCTACATGTAAATTATTTTCTTTGTTGTATTTTCCTGTCAAAATAGTGGAGTTCATTTTGAATTATTCAGCCTTTAAGAACAAGAAGAAGCCACTTCCGGTTTCTTCGGTAGTAGGCGGAACTAATGTGCAAACGGCAATCTCGTCGGCTGGTGCTCACCTGTTACCTTCAATGTTTTGAATCAGTTCGAGCGAACGCAGACAACATGATTAATATTCATTAACTCAGCAGCTCATCAGATCTTAGTGTGTTTTGTATTGTTATTATTATTATTAGTAGTAGTAGTAGTAGTAGTATATTATCAGTATTATTAACTACCTAATATAACTGTATGCCATTGAACTAGGGATGTCAATTTTCGATCATTTCCATGATCGATCGTCGTTTAAATTAACGATCAATTAATCGATTAATCGTTAACCTTAATGCTGCAAAATGCTATTGCAGCGGCACGCAGTCACCGGCATGACAGGATGTGCAAAAGCCACTCACAAAAAAAAAAAAGCGCTTTTTCACCCAGAATTAAAGGGGTTTTAGTCTGAATGAAATGCTAAGTAGCAGGATTGTAAAATTAATGGAAGTGATTATGATAATTTGATAAAATGAAGAGAGCGCGTCGTACGTTTGAGATCATTTTACTTTGTTGACGGTTTCATATCCCGTCACGGAGACCGCTGAACGTGCCTCTTTAAATGGTTTCGTGGTGCGCTGCTGCAGCAAAACACATTGTTGATCACATGAAACATTTGTATGTGAGTATTATGATCAGTGCTTAATTTGATCCTGCTGGATCCTGTTCCGGAAAATGTCAGATTTGGAATTTTCGCGTTCCGGTAGGCCTATTTGTTTTAAAAATCCAGGTGAAACAATGCCAGAGAACTTGGGCGTGATACGGCCAAGGGCTCTCTGCCAGATCTGTTTACGCAGCGCCTGCCACTTATAATCGCCATTGGCTAGTAAATTTTTTGTTTACTCGCCAGACTGATATACTATTTTACACACACACGTTTACTTAGCTATCTAAATGGGGACATTACATAGACTTCGATTGTTTTTATATACAGATAGTTATACACTTTTTAACCTAAACCCACCCCTACCCCTACCCCTCACAGAAAGCTTTCTGCATTTTTACAATTTCAAAAGTAAAAAAAAACTTTGTTTACTTTATTTTTATAACAGTTTTACAAATGAGGACATCCACAAATTGAGGTTTTTGCCGATTTTGTCAGGTTTTGCTCACTTCTCGTCGTTGCTTCCTCCGAGGTAGCTGGGAGGAGAGAAACATTATCGCTGGGAGGAGAGAAACATGATCGCGGGGAGGTGGGGCCGCCTTCCGCGAACGAATGGGGGCAGACTGCTTTTGTGGTAAAAGCAGCCCATGTCTGTGAGCGCAGCCATAGTGACACACACACAAATTTGAAGCTGTCAGTGGCAGCATCTGCTCCGATCTACTTTGTAGGATAGAGCCGCTCGAGGTGAAGAGGGGCACTGATCCTTTTGTGCGAGACACGGATCAAAGCGCAGCGGGGAGAGCGAGTACGCAGGCTCTGTGTCGGCGTGAGATCGCTTAGACCCGGTTGCTTAGTCATCTCAGTAAGCGCGTAGCTCAATGCCCTTCTACGGCAGATCCGAGTGCAACGGGGAGAGCGAGCATGTGGGTACAGTGCCGGCATGCGATCGCTCAGACCCGGTTGCTTAGCTCCCTGACTCCGCTGTTTCTCTCTCCGAGGCTCGCTGAGAGAGGAGAAATGGGAGAGCGGGGCTGTCTCCATTTGAGGCGGTCCGCGAGTGGAGAAGAGCGAGACTCATGCTCGAGTGAGCATTCCGTCTCAGTGAGAGAGCAGTCTCTGCGTGGGGTCTGCCCAGACAGATGACGTACTCATTGCTATTCTGCATCGTGCAAGTTTCCCTGCATGAGCCACGCTCGCAGCGCGACATTTGCAACAACGTCGTTAGAATTTGCTCTTTTAGGGCTTACCTGCTAGAAATAAGCTCTTTCAGAATCGCCGGATGGTGGCAGGGGAAATGGACCAGAACTGCTGCGTCGCTGTAGCGGCGGAGAAACAGGTCAGCTGTGCTGAGAGGTCCCAATTCCAGCTGCGAAGGTGTGTCAACGGCGAGCAGGCTTTCAGGATCAGCGATGAGCGTAGAGTCATCGCTGAAGGAGAAGAAATCTGAGAATCCTGTGGCGAGCGCCCGCTTATATAGCCAGATGCCCCGCCCATTCTGGCGGGCTTTGGCAGGCTTGGCGGGCTTCGTCACCATAGGCTCGTGCAGCTC